AATACTCAAGTGACAATGGATTATGTGGCAAATTATTTGTACATCAGCCATTGCTTTGCCTAAGAAATAATCCACAATGGACTTGGGTTTCAAAGTTTGTGCCGAAATAACTCACGGAAGAGCAATAAACAGAGCGTCTGGGCATATGCAAACAAAATTTGTTCTGATACTCAAAGGAAGTTAAAAGTTTCTTTTAAAAAAATCATTACTGGTGAGAAGACATGGATTCATCACTATGAGCCTGAGACTAAACTGCAGAGTATGGAATGGACACATCCTCAATCACTGTCCATGAAAAGTTCAAATGTCAACCATCAGCTGGAAAATTGATGCTTAGATTCTCAAGGACCAGTACTGGAACACTATCAGGAAAAATGTTAAACAATCAACAGCGCTCCTTACAGTAAGATGCTCACTGAAGAGCTGAAGCCTAAACTTCGGGTTAAACACAGAGGACTGCTATTGAAGGGCATTGTAATCTTTCATTACAATGCACTTCTGCCCACCTTTGCCCACATTGGTGACACTACAAAAACTTTGTTTTCAGGTGTTAAATCCTCCTCCTTATAGTCCTGATATTGTTCCATAGGACTTTTACCTGCTTGGTCCCCTGAAAGCAGCCCTTTGAAGATGAAAATTCACCTCTGATGAAGAAGTGCATTCGTGACTCGCAGCTCAGCCTAAAATACTTTTTTAATAAGGAAATATGAAAGGTTGTGGACAGATAGACAAAGTGTACTGAAAAGCAAGAAGATTATGTAGAAAATGATGTATTTGTCTTTTCTAAAAGTTGATTAAAATATTTCCTACAGCCAATGTGCAGGTAATTTTTTACTTACTTGTGTGTATGTGTGGCACTGAAGGATAAGCACTGGGCTGCAAAGTCAGTTTGAACGGCAAGGTTGGTGGTTTAAACTCACCAACTGCTTCTTGGAAACCCTATACAGGGTCATTATGAGTCAGGACTGACATGATAGATAGTATACTTAATGATAACAACAACATTGTTAGTGATCTGTCATCTTTTAGAATTATTATGAAAATTGTATTCAGCTCACACATACCATGTAGGAAAATGGTTTTTCTCGTTTTTTCTCATTTATAAACCTTGTCTAACAAGATTCAGAATGGGTAGTACAAAGTTGAATTTTGACAGTCCTTTTTATAATAGAAGAGAATCTATTTTCCTCCTTAGGGTCTTTTTTAATAAGGGCATACAAAACTCTCAGATCTTCTGAGAATTTCTCTCTTGAGAGATCTCAGTTAATATGAGGAAAAACAACTTCAGGAAGAAAAAAAAAAAATTAATGAAAGGCTCATCACTATTTGATTGCTCCCTTCCCACTGTTGCTTCCTATTCTTTCTGCTTTCTGCATATTTCTTCTCAGCTTCAAACATTTTTCTTCCTGATTTTTCCATTGTGAGCTGCCTTTTCCTGGCCCTTCAGCTGTGAAAGGGATGGGGAGAAAACCCTGACACAGCAAGTATTTTCTGATTCCAGCAAGGACAGCTTGTGGAGGATGAGAAAGCAAAAAGGCCTCCACAGGTACTCCCCTTTGCCTGTTGCCAGACCACTTTGAGGTGTGAATATGTGATTTTCTCTGGAATGTGGATCAGGGTTTGGCAAGTGTTTTTTCAGCAACTAATCGCTGAATGCTCTTGTTTAAAGGCAGAGGCATTACTTTAAGTGTACATTTGTTGTTGCTGTTAAGTGCTGTGGAGTTGTTCCAACTCACAGCAATGCTGTATAGGATTTCCGAAGAGCAGCTGGTAAGTTTGAACTGCTGACCTTACAGTGCTTACTCTACAGCACCACACCAGGATTCCTTGGGTATACACAGTGATCATTATACATGATTCTGTATCCACTTTTGGAGTCCTGGTGTGGCGCTGTAGGATAAGCACTGGATCGCAAGGACATTTGAACCGCAAAGTCAGAGGTTCAAACTCACCAGTCCCTCCTCAGAAACCCTAAGCAGGGTGGCTATGAGTCGGAATCGACTCAAAGGCACTTAAAAACAACACCCACTTTTAGGAGTCAAATGCAGATTCTCATAACCCTGCACCAAATTTGAGAGGCACGTGTGAATGACTAGCTAAAAACTACTCACAAGCTCAAGTCTGCCTTCTAGGCAGAAGAGAAGAGCCTAGAAATGCACTGAGTACACTTGCACACACCCAGTGTTGCTGTTGTTGTTAAGTGCAGTCGAGTTGATTCCGACCCATAGCAACCCCGTATAGGGTTTCCAAGGAACAGCTGGTGAACTTGAACCACTGACCTTGCAGTTCAAACAACTTAGGCACATATTAAACCCATAAACTGCAGGTTACACTAACGTGTTCTTCCCTTCCTCGGGGCCCCACCTTACTTACTTTCTCGTTCTCCCAACCCCCAGCCTGCACCCACACAATAGGATTTTTGTTTGCTTCAGGAGCATGTGATAGCGAACAACCTGCTTTGCTTAGCTCTGGGCCGCAGGTCTCTCAGGTAACAGGTGGAAGCTTCCCTGTTGGATTCTAGGTATAAAAAAGAATGACCTCATAGGGGTGGAGCTCAGGAACTCCATAGAGGTGGCAGTCACCGGCAGGTAAATCTGGAGTGGAGCTGTTTAGTTAGAAGGGGCAGTTAAACTTGTCACTCTGGTGACTTTACCCTTCACTCTGAAGCACTTCAGCAAGCAGCCATTGCTTGGAAGCTTCTCAAGCTTCTCTTTATCTCAGATGGAGCCCAAAGAAGCCACTGGGAAAGAAAACATGGGCTCTAAGAAAAAGAATCTGACCTTTTTGAGGTCTAGACTCTATATGCTGGAGAGAAGAAAGACTGACACTGTGGTTGAGAACAGTGTTTCTGGGGACCACTCTGGCACCTTGAGGAGGAGCCAGTCTGACAGGACGGAATACAACCAGAAATTACAAGGTAAAAAACAATCAATCGCCCCAGGTTGCTGCATTCCCAGCTCTGATTCTGCTACTCTTCCATTTGCAAAGAAAACACTTAAGGAAGAGAAAAAACTAGATTCCCACCTCCCTTTCATATAAAATAAGAAAATGAAAGTAAATGTGACTCGTAAGTTATAGGAAAAATACTTTTATGATTTGGTTGAATAAGTGAAGGGACAATTCTGAATTATTCTTAATATTGTTGCTTCTCTTCTAATGAGGGTGATATATAT